AAGTGATGATGATATAGTGTGGTAGTTGAAGTGATGATGATATAGTGTGGTAGTTATAGTGATGATGATATAGTGTGGTAGTTGTAGTGATGTTATAGTGATGGTAGTTGTAGTGATGATGTTATAGTGTGGTAGTTGTATTGATGATGATATAGTGTGGTAGTTATAGTGATGATGATAGTGTGGTAGATGTTGTGATGATATAGTGTGGTAGGTGTAGTGATGATGTTATAGTGTGGTAGATGTTGTGATGATGATATAGTGTGGTAGATGTAGTGATGATGATATAGTGTGGTAGTTGTAGTAATGATGTTATAGTGTGGTATTTGTAGTGATGATGATATAGTGATGTAATTGTAGTGATGATGATTTAGTGTGGTTTTTGTAGTGATGATGATATAGTGATGGTAGTTGTAGTGATAATGCTATAATGATGTAGTTGTCGTGATGATGTTATAGTGATGGTAGTTGAAGTGATGATGTTATAGTGATGTAGTTCTAGTGATGATGTTATAGTGATGGTAGTTGTAGTGATAATGCTCTAGTGATGTAGTTGTAGTGATGTTATAGTGATGGTAGTTGTAGTGATAATGCTATAGTGATGGTAGTTGCAGTGTTAAGTGTAGTGAGCTAGTTATAATTAGGGTTAAGTTAAGGTAGTGAGAGTTAGTTGAGTTAGGTTAGGTTAATTTACGTTACGTTACGTTAGCTTAGATTAAGTTACGTTAGAACGGCTTACTGTTGGTTAGGTTAGGTTAATTTACGTTACGTTAGCTTAGATTAAGTTACGTTAGATTAGATTAAGTTAGGTTAGGTTATGTTACGCTACGTTTCATTAGATTAGGTTATGTCATGTTCGTTACGTTACGTTAAGTTTTGCTGTGGTATATGTGAGTATTATCCCATGACAGTTACCTACATACTCACCTCCAGCCCGGCATGTATTGACACTGCATGATGTACTGTATATGTACAGTAGCTAACACAACTGTCTGTGCATACTTAGTGGGAAACAATATGAGACCATGGACGATAAATATTTGTATATGAGGGCTGTCACTAGTCACACGTAAAGTTTGGGAGGATATCGACCCCCACCTCCTCAGATAGTTGTTTTAGCTACTGTACACAACGAGAATACTGTATCTTCCCGGTGGTATGATACACACTGTACTCTCTTTTACCTCAACTTTTCACTTAATTGATACAAATCTTTAGTGGCTCAAGGTAAAGTCTGTGTGTGTGTGTGCGTGCATGGGTGTGTGTGCGTGTGCGTGCGTGTGTGATTAATTTACATTTATTTAAGTTTGATAAATATCTCCAAAGTCAAATTTACGTAAAATCTTTAATAATATGGTGTTTAATTCTTGCCACAGTTTTCCTCAGGACAGTGGCTTAATGTCCCCGTTTCTCTGATTTACATTTTTACTCCAAAGTTTTGAACAAAGGGAATTGCATATATCCACTCTCACAGCGATTCCATTTTGACAAACATTTTCACAATAGAATTAAAAAAAATTCCCTGGAACTTGTAGATTTTACACTTTTTTTTTTTCAACAGATTAAAAAAATCGTCAAAGTTTCTACACACCGTGAATTATTTTTTTTGTAATATAATAATAATTTCTGCCTCGCAAAAAAGAATGAAAGTACACACATATATATATATCCCCCGTAATACATTCTTACCCAACTAAATAAATAGACAGTTGCAAATCCTCTATATTGCAGAAATCATGTATGCAAAAACCCTTCAATAAACAAGAGCTCTCCGTACACTCCCTGCAACATTATATGCTATTTCCTGAACAATATTGCAAGAAAAATAACAAGCACGGTCCTGCAATATCAGCGACATTTTTGGCGACCCAACTTTTGACCAAGAGAATTGCATATATCCCGTGTAAATGTTAGCTGCAGTTTTTTGGCCAAAACTTTTCAACAGAGGAACATTTTTCATGGTCTTCACGTCTCAGGGAATGCAGTGGCTGACTCCACAGGGAAATTACCCGGGATGTGACCCAGGACAACGGCTCTTTAGGGATGTGGCCCAGGACAACGGCTCTTTAGGGATGTGACCCAGGACAACGGCTCTTTAGGGATGTGACCCAGGACAACGGATCTTTAGGGATGTGGCCCAGGACAACGGATCTTTATGGATGTGACCCAGGACAACGGCTCTTTAGGGATGTGGCCCAGGACAACGGATCTTTAGGGATGTGACCCAGGACAATCTTTAGGGATGTGACCCAGGACAACGGCTCTTTAGGGATGTGGCCCAGGACAACGGATCTTTAGGGATGTGACCCAGGACAACGCTCTTTAGGGATGTGGCCCAGGACAACGGCTCTTTAGGGATGTGACCCAGGACAACGGCTCTTTAGGGATCTGGCCCAGGACAACGGCTCTTTAGGATCTGGCCCAGGACAACGGCTCTTTAGGGATGTGGCCCAGGACAACGGATCTTTAGGGATGTGACCCAGGACAACGGATCTTTAGGGATGTGGCCCAGGACAACGGCTCTTTAGGGATGTGGCCCAGACCTCTTTAGGATGTGGCCCAGGACAACGGCTCTTTAGGATGTGACCCAGGACAACGGCTCTTTAGGGATGTGGCCCAGGACAACGGATCTTTAGGGATGTGACCCAGGACAACGGCTCTTTAGGGATGTGGCCCAGGACAACGGATCTTTAGGGATGTGACCCAGGACAACGGCTCTTTAGGGATGTGACCCAGGACAACGGCTCTTTAGGGATGTGGCCCAGGACAACGGCTCTTTAGGGATGTGGCCCAGGACAACGGCTCTTTAGGGATGTGGCCCAGGACAACGGATCTTTAGGGATGTGACCCAGGACAACGGATCTTTAGGGATGTGGCCCAGGACAACGGCTCTTTAGGGATGTGATTCATGTAGGACTCTGGCAGCCACACCCACTCACAAAATTATGTGTTATTACTTACACGATGAATGACTTGTATCACGCACATGTCAATGTACACCACACACACTCACACACACACACACACACACACACACACACACACACACACACACACACACACACTCACACACAAATAAATTTATAGTAATAATGATAATAATAATAATAATAATAATAATAATAATAATAATAATAATAATAATAATGGTTGCCCCTCGTGTAACGAGGATGGTCGGCCCTAGGGCCGTCTAGGCGTGAATTTGTTTAAGGTGTAGAAGTTGTCGCCAACACAACAACCACACCCTGAGGTAACGAGTTGCATGACCCAGTGTCAAGGAATAGTCCGAGAAGACCGGACAACTCGTCAACTGCACTGGCTAACCATTACCCCGGAACACGATCAGCAAATCGATGAACATCCAGGTCCCCAATTACAGCTGAGTAGACAGAGGCACAACTCGAGGCTTATATATTGTAAAGGTAAATAAATTATCAGACTTTAGGCTGGTATTAAAACCCGGAGATAAGAACTCTTTAAAATTCTGGTTTGGTCAATTTATTGTTGCTTTCATGGTCGAAACTTTTAAGGAGTGATAAAAGTTTGGCCTCTCGAGGAAATAATACTAAGATAAAATAAATGATTCTCTTAAAGGTCGGTTATAAAACTCGTATGTGAAGACTTAGGGTTAGTTAACGTTAATGTTAACATTATCCTCGGAGGAAGTTAATTGTTAAAAGTTTTAATAATTTCTTCATTAATCTTTGGATTGGTGGAATTTATCGTTCATGTCGTAGATCAATATAATATGAAACAATGAAACGAAATTAAGATATTTCCGTACTTCACTTAATGCAGAATGATCGTACGGCTGGCAGCGTCGTATAATGATATAAACTTGCATATAAATATACTCCCTCGTGCGAACACTAATGTAAGATCAGAAAAGACAGGAATTTGGCTTAAAACCACAACTAAAACATTACATCTTCCAACACAGATAAGTTAAAGACCCTAAGGAGTGGCTAAAGTGTTCTCTGGTAAAACATATCGTACTGCTCCTCCCCGGCACCTCTCCCTCCCCTCAGTGCTAAGTTTACTGTCGAGGAGAGATGTTACAGCTTTATAGCCTCACAAAGCTTAATTAACTTATTCTTATCTAACCCTTTATCATCCCAGACAAAGTAATCAACACTGATGAAAAAGATGAATAATAATGAACACTGTATTTATGTGAGATTATTGTGTATTAACTCGTTATAAATGAATGCCAATGTATTTTTGTTTTTTATTTTCAAAGCAGACGTTAGAACTGAATAAATAAATACAGTACTATTGTTTATAAACCGTATTGAATATTTAACAGGTTTTTACATGTATAAAAATAGTATTGGATGAAATAGTAAACCAGTTTTCTCTTTTGTTCACAGATACGCCGGCAGGAAGAGAGTCATTTTGAAGCCACTACAGCCTACACATCAAAGCCAGCCAGTCAGCTCCTTTGTAGTGACTGGCTCCTACACTTATAACTGGAGTCAAGACAGTAGTGGAGCTGCTCAGTGGAGGAGACAGTCATTCTCCTACACTTATAACTGGAGTCAAGACAGTAGTGGAGCTGCTCAGTGGAGGAGACAGTCATTCTCCTACACTTGATGAATTTAGAAACATTTTAAGGCTTTTTTCTATTTTTTACACTTTCCTTCACTATACAATCTCATTAACCCCAAATTGTTCCTCCTATTAGCCGTAAAAGTCCTCATTAATCTCTAACTTTTCCTACAACACCCAGATACTTTCCTTCAGTATACTACTTCAGTAATTTCTACTTTCCCTTTCACCGAGTTGATGTTGTTTTCCATTATAACACTTCACAAACACTTAACTCATCCTCCTATTATGACTTACACCTCCACTACAGCGATACTTATATACATTCTACTTACCTCCATAAATACACAACTCATTCTTCTATTACACATTACTTGCTTCTACTACTCTTCTCAAACACGTATCTCATCTTACTGTCACTTTTTGCTCTTCTCTTCCACTTGAGCTGTCTACCTGGCTCATTAACCCCTGCGTCAGGTGTACCCAGCAGCAGGTAACACCCTCCCCTTCTCACCTGAGGAGTGTGGGAAGGTCTCTCTCTGGGGTGGTCAAGTGTGGCTGTTATGGTAACCAGAAAGTCTTCGACGGGCAACAAAAGCAGAGACTAGCGAGTCGATGAGGGCCTTCAAGTGGTCAAGTGTGGCACGGAAAGTGACTTGTGTATATTTCTGAAAACCTTGGTAGAAAAAAAGTGTGGTGTGGTGCGTGAAGGTTGAAACTCTTCTGTGTTATATAATATTTCTCTCTTTTTTGGGGGGGACAGAAGATAGTTGTTGTTTATCATGAGACATGGAGGCTCTGTTGAACTTAAATAAGATCTCAATCAGTACAAGAAGGTATTGGTTCCCTGACCGTGTGAAATTATAAAAAAAAATCATATGAACTTTATATTTATTACTTATTGAAGTGCTGGAAGATAAACTGAAAATTATCGTGATGGTGCGTGTTGTTGGCTTCTGATAAAAAGCTTCTGTCTCTGCCTAACACGTGAGAAGGATTACAAGATACTGTTCACTAGAGCTCTACGTGGAGAGGAGGAGGACCCCGGTACAACTGAAGGAGAAGTAGTTGTAGTTCTGGCGCCGTCATAAGAGTTTCTTGGTAAGTTCAGGAACCACAGTGTAAGAGTGACAAGGACATGACTCATATCTAGTGAAGTGTCTTGTCTAGGTCTGGCGAAGAAGGGACTTGACTTTTTTTCTTTGCGCCTGGCGAAAAGAGAGACCTGGTTCTGAAGCAGTCAAAAGGACCCGGTGGGGGGCCAGGGTCGGGTGAACTCGTGAGGGTCCCCAGTACGCCTGATGACCGGACCCCAGGATGAGTCTCACCCCACTGGACGAGGACGGGTCGGAGGAGGTAAGATAGTCAGCCTTGTTCCTCTCCTCTCCCACACATCCCTCTCCACGCCTCCTCACTCCTCTCCTCTTTCCTCCCAACACTCCTTCTCTCTTAAGTATATTTGAAGAGCTGTTCACTCCGACACTCCACGATACACGATATGGTGTGTGTGTGTGTGTGTGTGTGTGTGTGTGTGTGTGTGTGTGTTAGCACTATACAGTACGTACACTGTAGCGTCAACTTCAATATATCACTCTTCACTTTTCTATTTTAACGAGTGGCTGGACAGATGGCACCTAGTTCTAATTGGCCTATCTGTATAGCCCTCGGCTCTAATTGGCTGGTGTTAAAGGTCACGAGTTCTAATTGGCTGGTGCTAATGGCTACGAGTTCTAATTGGCTGGTGCTAATGGCCACGAGTTCTAATTGGCAGGTGCTAATGGTCCCTTGCTCTAATGATTCTCACTCCAAATGGCCTTACGTCCTGATTGCCGCTTCCCTTAATGACCCCTTGCCCTTGATTACCCTCAATACTAATGGCCCCGGTGCAAATGAACCGTAATACTAAGAGATAATTAAGTTAATGACCACCATTACTGAAAGACACCAACTGACATGTTCAGGTTGTAGCCAATCAGAGTTGCAGCCAATCAGAGTTGTGTCCAATCAGAGTTGCAGCCAATCAGAGTTGTATCTAATCAGAGTTGTAGCCAATCAGAGTTGTAGCCAATCAGAGTTGTGTCCAATCAGAGTTGTATCTAATCAGAGTTGTAGCCAATCAGAGTTGTTCATTACACTATATTACATTACTGTGATGAAACCAATAGTAAAATTATATTACCTGTATTTATCAATATTGAACCTGTATATATATATATATATATATATATATATATATATATATATATATATATATATATATATATATATATATATATATATATATGATCCACAATGAAAACGTGGATAAGATAAATCTTGATAAATATATATATATATATATATATATATATATATATATATATATATATATATATATATATATATAATGGGCGGTGTGTGTAATATAACAATCCTAAATTAATGTTTAATATAAGTTAGCAATATTGAACTAGAGTGCATATATAAATTTAACCTGTTATTAACCAATGCACATTCCATACACCACATTAAAGTAGGTCCTAACCTAACCTAACCTAAACCAAACCTAACCTAAACCATCGTAAAGTATTAATTAAACCCCATTAATAAACCACAGTAATTAGTTCTTTATTCTTCCTCAGTAATTTAACTCATTGTGGTACCGTAACTTACACCCAGGTATGGTATATCCCCGGGTATAGTACACGCATTCCCGGGTGTAAAAACAATTTTCTCCACTTCGGAAATGTTTAAAGAATCGAATACCCTAAAGGTTGAAGTCTGTTGTGTAGTGGAAGAGGACTCGGCAGCCACACACACTACTGGATTCTAACGTAACTCTCCTTAATCTTACGAGGAATTGGATCATGTATTGGGTTGTATCAGCTTCATGGCGTCTATTGTAGTGGATTCTGAAGCTGTTTTATGTATTGAGATTTGATGGGTTTAGATTTTTGTGTTGGACTCCAAGTTTGATTCGTTTATGGCCACTGTGTTGGTTCGATTGTGTTGGTTTGGTTTGGTTAGATCTGATGTTAATTTGTACAGTGAAGAGAAATAAGCACCATACAGAAACATACAGCACCATAAAACACCATACAGCACCATACAGAACCATAAAACACCATACAGCACTATAAAGCACCATACAGAACCATAAAACACCATACAGCACCGTAAAGCACCATACAGCACCATACAGCACCATACAGCACCATAAACCACCATACAGCACCATAAACCACCATACAGCACCATAAAGCACCATACAGCACTATAAAGCACCATACAGCACCATAAACCACCATACAGCACCATAAACCACCATACAGCACCATAAACCACCATACAGCACCATAAAGCACCATACAGCACTATAAAGCACCATACAGCACTATAAAGCACCATACAGAACCATAAAGCACCATACAGAACCATAAAACACCATACAGAACCATAAAACACCATACAGAACCATAAAACACCATACAGAACCATAAAACACCATACAGCACCATACCATCATAACTTAGTCCATAATCAGTACAGTTCATAATATTGCCTTGTGTTTGTGTTGATATAAGCTCACTTGTGTTTATCAGTAAATAAGAATTATATCCTTGTCAGAATTTTCCGCTATTTAAGACTTAAGTAACTCACTAGCGTATTGTGGATGCCAACTTAATCTCACTTATTACGTATTTTTGTAGTTATTTATGATAATTTATTCTTTGATGTTGTATTCAAGGATTTTTTTAACATATCATTCTTATTTTTTTTTAGTATAATTCCGTTTAATTTTTTTTCAGGGTAATAAATTATGAAAACACTAATATAACACCTCTCACCTACACCCTCTACCACCACCCATACCTTCCACCACCACCCACACCCTCTACCACCACCCACACCCTCTACCACCACCCACACCCTCTACCACCACCACCCACACCCTGTACCACCACCCATATCCTCTACCACCACCCATACCCTCTACCACCACCCACACCTCCCACCATTAATTGATTCCTCTTGGTATATGGCTGCTTGAGAGGCAGTCACTGACGTCTGTGTGTAGGGATATAAATAATTCCCGTGTATATATATATGTGTTTATATAAATAATTCCCGTGTGTGTGTTTGCATCATAATAATCCCACATATTAACACGGAACTAAAAATACAAAACTTCACTTCACGGGATATAGGATTATGGCAGGAAATTATCACATGACCACAAAAAACTTAACAAGAATTTCAGATTTATCATTGTTACCAGACCAGTACATGGGTGAAAGATATTCTCACAGATGTTGACAAAATATATAGGATTAGGTCTTAATTATATCACCCCATTATATAGAAGTTAACAAAATGTGTAAAAATATCAAAAGACTAAATTCGTGTCTGAGGGATGGCGACCACAGTCCTCTTTTAAGTCTTGAGGTTGTCTTTACTAATCCTACCGGGTTTTTTTTAAAGGTCTCTGGGGACCACAGAGAGTGTATCTGATATTATTTTACTATTAACTTATATTTACTTATCCTTATTTACACCTTATGTTATTAGAAGTTATGAAGAGCTATTATACAATGTAGGAGACAGCACGTAACCTTGTCCTACTCCCTGTATAACCCTGAATTAACTAGTCATTATTTACAAACACTATAGCCTCCTCTTACCAGTAAAAAAACCTGTAGAATTCTGATATAATCCTCCATTAATGGCTTTTCTTCGCAAAGTTTATTGTGTTCTAACCAAATTATAGGAGGAAATCAACACAAAATAATTATAGCCGCCAAAATTATAGAACAATCGAATAATTTATAATCACACAACGTAACTTAGAGAGAAAATCTAAACTATCTTAGAGAGAAAATCTAAACTATCTTAGAGAATTATTTCACCGCCACACTACCACACCACCACCACAGTACCGCACCACACTACCACACCACCACCACAGTACCGCACCACACTACCACACCACCACCACTGTACGCACCATACTACCACACCACCACCACAGTACCGCACCACACTACCACACCACCACCACAGTACCGCACCACACTACCACACCACCACCACAGTGTACCGCACCACACTACCACACCACCACCACAGTACCGCACCACACTACCACACCACCACCACAGTACCGCACCACACTACCACACCACCACCACAGTACCGCACCACACTACCACACTACCACCACAAGGGTTAGACCAAGATCAAATGACCTTGGCCCAGCACAAGGCGTGGGTGGGCTATTGACCCAAGCTGGCACGAGTACACTGTCTGTACTGGCGTTACCACCAACACCTTCCACCCACGCCTCCTACCACCCTCCACCCACACCTCCCACCCACGCCTCCTACCACCCTCCACCCACCACCCTGCACCACCACCCCCATTAAGTAACCACCCCCTGTTCGTGTGTGTGTGTGACGTAAACTCAGTAATACAGTAACACATGATTGGAACTTGCTGACAAAGAGCCGCTGGCCACTCACCCTGTTGTTTAAGAAGGTCATATTTTAAAACGGTTTAGAGTAGAGTGGAGTAGAGTAGAGTAGAGTGGAGTAAAGTAGAGTGGAGTAGAGTAGAGTGAAGTAGAGTAGAGTAGAGTAGAGTAGAGTGGAGATTCACCATCAGGGTTTATATCAGCCTCATGTGATGTTCTCAATTATTAGCACAACAAAACATGACGTAATAAAGTCCCCAAAACCTTCCATTACTGACTGAGTTAATAACAGACCTTACCTAACCTTACCTTACCTTACCTTACCTTACCTTACCTTACCTTACCTTACCTTACCTTACCTTACCTTACCTTACCTAACCTTACCTTACCTTACCTTACCTTACCTTACCTTACCTTACCAAACCTAACCTAACCTAACAAACTTGAGTGAAATCTTTTGACCGAGCGCCAAGTGGTGAACTGTGTCGTATTTTTTACCTCTGATGATGGGTCATAAATTATTCTGAGAGATTTTGATTCATTCTCAGCGTCTGTCTGTCTGTCGCTGAGGATCTGTCTTCGTCTGCAGTTACAATTACGACAGTGGACAGTCTATTCTTAAACTATCAGTCATTGTTGGTCCGGCCAGGTGTCGCTGTGTGGACGCTGACAAACGCTCTGTCATTCAACTTTTTGGACGGGGTAAAATGTTCTGTGTGTACAGTGTGAGGCTGAAGAACAGAGAGAGAGGGACGGTGAGGGTAGGTAGTGTCCTGTAGTTGTTTAGGGGAATTAGATAATGTTCTTTTCCTGCAGCTTATACTCCCCTCCTTCTTCTCCTGTCCCCACCACTTTCTTAGCCACTAGAGGGGGGAAGTCTCCACTTAGTCCAATGGTCAATATGTCCTGTACTCTCTCTCTCTCTCTCTCATGTATATCCAAATCTCTGTATATATGAATTTAAAAAAGTATTTGTATATAAAAATCCTTCACGCCGTTGGTAACATTCTGTCTACAAAGTGACGGAATCGCATATTACTTCGGCTGGACTCCTGCAGGTGCCAGTTACCCTTTTTTTATACGTTTTCACAAATTTCACTTTTTTATTTACTTATTTTCACTTTAAAACATAAAAACACTACTTGTAAACTGACGCAATATTTTTTTCAATAAGTATAAGATGTAATATATTAATAATGATAATCTGAAACAAGATAAAATGATAAAAATAATTAAGTAATTGTAGCGTTCACTGGCAAGTATCAGGAACGTTCCGATACTGGGTTAATCCTAAAAGCGTAAAAGCTGACGATTTGTGTAGTGATGTGTATGTATGTGAGGCTCCTGTGTATGTGTGTATTTATGTACGTAACGGTGTTTGTATCTTTTGTATGTGTGTGTGTGTGTACAAAATATTCGCTCCAGAAAATATCTTCACGGAGGGATTCAATGACTTTTAAAATGAACACTGTAACTCCTATTGTCTCGGCAGGGTTGTCAAAATCCTTCGTCTATTGCATTACATTGTCTCACACGAAATCGTAAAGATACTTTTGGGCCGAGGTGTGTGTGTGTGTGTGTGTGTGTGTGTGTGTGTGTGTGTGTGTGTGTGTGTGTGTGTGTGTGTGTGTGGTGTGTGTGTGTGTGTCGCGATAATTCCCTCAGCCTCAAAGTCTCAAATGTTCCTACGATATATTTTCCCCTAACTACTGATGTTACAACTTAGCTACGTCGTTCACTTGTTTTATAAAGATAAATTCTCTCTAAGTTTCGTAGGTTAATAAGCTTCTTTAGCCTAAACTGTGAGAAGATATTGGATTCTCAAATATTCCTCAGTTTTCTCCTAGTAAACAATGGAAACACGTAACTAACTGTTCATTTAAGCCTTTACAAAATAATGGAGTATCAAATATTTCCACTTTAAATTTTTATTATTACTTTAGTTTCGAAATATCGTTGTAAAAATTATATAATAAGTTTAGTTAGGTTAAGGTAATTTTAGGTTAGGCTAGTTTTAAGTTAGTTTTTGGTTTGGTTAAGGTAGTTTTAGGTTAGGTTAGGTTAGGTTAAGTTAGGTTAGGTTACGTTAGGTTAAGATTACATTTCTCTCAACTAATCCGTGTTGTCTCACAGCAACGGCCAGTACGGCAGACGGTATGTGAGACTCTGCGCCACGGGGCCAACTGGAAGTGTTTCATCCTGACCTTACTGATAGTGTCGTGTCTGGCTGCCATCACCTGGTGTAGACTCACCCAGGTAACACACTCTAGTCTATCTTTCACCTGTGTTCACCTGTGTTCACCTGTGTCTACCTGTGTCTACCTGTGTTCACCTGTGTCTACCTGTGTTCACCTGTGTCTACCTGTGTCTACCTGTGTCTACCTGTGTTCACCTGTGTCTACCTGTGTCACCTGTGTCCACTCAGTGTCCACCTGTGCCCCACCTTGTGTTCACCTGTGTCTACCTCAGTTCACCTGTGCCCACCAGGCTCCACCTGTGTTCACCTGTACCCACCTGTGTTCACTCCAGGTTCACCTTGTGTTCACCTGTGCCCACTCTCAGGCTCCACCCAGGTTCACCCAGTCTACTTGTGCTCACCTGTGTTCACCTGTGTCTACCTGTGTTCACCTGTGTCTACCTGTGTTCACCTGTGTCTACCTGTGTCTACCTGTGTTCACCTGTGTCTACCTGTGTTTACCTGTGTCCAAATTAATCTATCCTAATCACCACATTCATCACAACCAATCACATCCATCCATCATAATCTAATGCAATCGTCGTTCTCAAATCACCTTCAATCTCTCTAATCACCACTAATTAATCTCTGGTCGTCCCGTACAGGTAACAAAGGTGATTGTGAACTTCGACACCTTCCCCATCACCAGAACCCGTCACCTGAGCCCTTGCGAGGACGGTTACCTGTACATACCTATAGCCTTCCTCGCTATGCTCTACCTGGTGTACCTGGTCGAATGCTTCCACTGCCCTACCAGGATACAGGTAAGTCACTCTATGGTCGAATGGGTTATGGTAGGTTGTTCAGGGGAGGTTGTCTGGTTGAATGGGTTATGGTAGGTGGTACAGGAAAGGTTCTCTGGTTGTCTGGTTGAACGGGTTATGGTAGGTTGTTCTGGGGAGGTTGTATGGTTGAATGGGTTATGGTAGGTTGTTCAGGGGAGGTTCTCTGGTTGTCTGGTTGAATGGGTTATGGTAGGTTGTTCATGGGAGGTTGTCTGGTTGAATGGGTTATGGTAGGTGGTACAGGAAAGGTTCTCTGGTTGTCTGGTCGAATGGGTTATGGTAGGCTGTTCATGGGAGGTTGTCTGGTTGAATGGGTTATGGTAGGTGGTACAGGAAAGGTTCTCTGGTTGTCTGGTCGAATTTGAGACAGTAAGCGATCCAAAGAGGCTGTTTGGTTGATCATTTAGCGGTAACTGACGGGTTTACGCTCTGTGCTGCCTACTGGTCGACAACTTCTCATAAGACACACGTAAAATATCATATGGTTGAAGTGGTTAATAAAACAGAGTCTGGTCGATGGACATTTTAAGATAACATCATCAGGTCAAAGTCAATTCAAAAGTTCACAGATTTAATTTTCCTCCTGAATGGTGACGTTAAGACCACATCCTTCTGACGTAATAACATCCAAAATGGCGTCATAATGCAACTAAGACTCAATGTTAAGTAGAACCGTTGACTTTGTACCAATATAGAGATAAAAAAAAAAAAAGTTTGAGAATATTTGTGAACCCCAAACCTGGAATTTTTACTTAAAGAAGAAATTAAACATATCAGGTTAATTTTCTTTACCTTAATTAGAGTCGAAGGAAGGTATTTGGTCACTGAATGTTACGTCAATTATAGGACAAAACGACACATCCTTCTCCCTCACACAACATCCAGCAGCCAGATCAGGAAGGATGTCTATATGAAAAAAAATGAATAAGTCATGTCATTTGGTACCCCTGACGTCATACGTAAGCTGGCGAATCAAAATTTTCATTATTTGGTTCTTTGACATTGTATTAGAGCGCTGATTGGTTCACGTCTATCCTCTTGTGTAATAAAAATCCTTCTTATTGGCCAAATTTCCATCAAGAAAATAGAAGTCTATTGGCTGCACACTGCTGCCCTTGCTGCTCTCCTTGTACGCCTGGTTTTTATTGGCCAAATTCTCGTATGACTCGATAGGTCGATGCTGATTGGCTAAATTTTATCAACAGCGCCTCTGACGTCATGTACCCGGGACAAAGGAGTTTTAATCCACCGTAAATTACGATAAGAACTTTCTGTTTAGCTTAGAAGTTTAATATGGAGCAATTTTTCCAACATTTCTGTCAAAACAAAAGACTTAAGATTAAAAATTACTTGAATGTGTCACACCTGTCTGTCCATCACTTGTCTCGTCTCATACAGGTGTGGACAGGTGTATACAGGTGTGGACAGATGTATACAGGTGTATACAGGTGTTACAGCCGCCACGCTCGGAAGACAATTAATTAATACCTAACTTCTGATGAATGGTGATTGACTAGCGGCCTTATAAGCCCCAGCCTCACTCTCACCGCCCACTCCCCCACAGTTGACCCACACAACGCCGGCCTCCCACGTATCCACCATGATAGAGTCGATGAGGAGCGCCCAGCCTGTTATCTGGTGGAAGGCCATGTGTTACCATTACGTGAGACGCTCTCGACACATCACCAGGTACCGCAACGGCGACGCTTATACCTCCACCCAGGTAGGTAACTCCTTAATGAGACACCTGCCTTACTGAGACACCTACCTTACTGAGACACCTACCTTACTGAGACACCTGCCTTACTGAGACACCTACCTTACTGAGACACCTACCTTACTGAGACACCTACCTTACTGAGACACCTACCTTACTGAGATATAATACTGTGAAACCTCATTGAGACATAATTAGGACACCTCACTGAGACACATATTACAGAGACACACCTCACTTATACTGTATAATATATGTGGTGCGTAAGCCAGTGTTAAGGTTCATATATATGCTGCTACTGTATTTAAACCGTCTTTAGTCTTCATAATAATAATAATAATAATAATTATATTAATAATAATAATAATAATAATAATAATAATAATATGAACAAACACACATACACTGTACACACGGGTATTTCACCTGGTGCTGGTAATTACAGGTGTTCTATGAGCGGGTCAACTCACACGCTGCCGGCACCTGTTTTCTCTTCTCCAACTGTGGCGTGAAGGACATCTCCAAGAAGCTGGTCAACCTCTCCAAGTACTCCTGTACCAAGATCAGGTACTGTACGCGCTCTGTCTGTCCAACAGCGATGTAGGTCTCGAGACCATTTTTTCAGGTCTCGGTCTCTCTCAGTAGTACACTCACTCAGTAACAGGTGGCGCTGGATGCTTCCCACTCAGTTACAGTGTGTGTGGCAGGGCTGGTGTGGTATAGTCACGTTACCTACCACGCCCTCTGTTGACACAAGAACCTCGATACACTCACAAAGTCTTCCTCATCTTCCGTGTTGCTGTTGGGTAATGAAAACTCTCACCCCTTCCCCACGCAGGTGCCCCCCCACGAGGATCAACAGCTCTTACAATACCTTTTTGATATGTAAATTTCAAGTGTTTGTGAGTAAAGGAAAAAAAATTGTGTTTAGTTTACTCATGTCGGGACCGTAGTGGCAGGGGGTGATGGGCTCTGGACGTCTGATGGTGTCTTGTGGTCTTTAATAAACTCTTTGATGACAACAGTTATATTGGGTTCCGGGTAATACAGGTCTATGACACTTCCTTACTGATACTGTCGTCATATGAGGATAACTGTACCTGTACTGTGTACCCACGTCTGTACCTCATTACCTGTAAACTCATACCTGTGTATTTGAGCCGAGTATCAATAAACGTTTGTCCTTACAACCCATACTACTGTCACTGTTAATAATGTGTTGATGCTGCGTCAGTGTTAATAGATGATGATGTTACAGGTTCTCCAAGGGTTTCGCCTTCGCCAACCTGGAGACTGCCAACGAGTTTGAGGAACAGAGAGCTCGCTTCTTCCAGGTGAGGTCTTAGGCTCTTACTGTATGTATTTGGAGAGAGAGAGAGAGAGAGAGATATGAATAGAAAAGCAGAAAAATCCGGTAAATAGTTGAGTAAAAAGAACACAGTTTGATGGAAGGAGAGGAGGGGAAAAACACACACACACACACACACACACACACACACACACACACACACACACACACTGGTTGGGTGGTGAATGTGCCAATGAGCTAACAAGGTGGCGTTGGGGAGGGACCTGAGCCCTCATTAGTGGATTGTTCTTCTTTGTTTACTATGCGTTTGGCAAGGGGGAGTGGGGAGTGGGGGGTGGGGTGGTGGGGAGAAATATTGTAGTAGGGAGAAGAGTAGGAAGGGGAGGGGAGTGGCAGGGAGAATAGACTGGAGTAAATGACGGGAGGGGAGAGGAAGTGAAGTTAACGGGGAGAAAAACTGGAGTGAGTGAGTGAGTGAGTTGAGTGAGTGAGTGAGTGAGTGAGTTGAGTGAGTGAGTTGAGTGAGTGCGGGAAGGAGTCGATATCCCCTTATGTCGCATCTGAATCCACAAAAGCGATCCTTAAGATCTCCACAAGAAGCCCACAAGAGGCTCCACAAGAGGCTCCACGAGAAGCTCCACAAGAGGCTCCACAAGAGGCCCACAAGAGGCCCACAAGAGGCCCACAAGAGCCCTCCGGGTGACAGACACAAGGCCTCTCCATTGGACTTCACATTGGCCGATAGAAGCTGCCGGTCGACCAGCTCTCCCCCGTCTTGTTAAAACCTCTTCGTCTTTCCTCTCATATTAATTGTTCCTGTCTTTTAAGTTGCCTGTGATTGGGTGTTGTTCTTCCACCCACAGTCCACCCACCACAGTCTCCCTCCTCTTCCCCCTCCGTCTCCTCCTCCTAACAAGCATCATTGAATTGAAACAGTTTATTTAGCCAGAAAAACACAGGTACAGAGTGGATAATAATAACAATATTAACATGGCTGAGCCAGTTGAGAACCTGAGTTCTCTTTTAGGCACCTGATATATCCTGTACATTTATCTCAAGGAAGTATTATGTAACATTTAGTATCATCTGGAATAGTACAATAGCATGGTGGTAATAAGAACATCTCATAATGTTACCACGGTTATCACTTCAATATTCATTTATTTTATTTATTTATTATTTTATTTTGTTAGTTAATTTTTTTTATTTATATTATAAGTATATACATAAATTACAGTGGAATTGAAAACCATAAGTATAATGGGGGATCAGTACAACCTGGGTAGTACAGTAATAAGGTTGAACAGCCCACAATAACAGCAATAGTCGTCAAAATAATAGGATCATTGAGAGCCATCTGTTGACATCTGTGTAGTGCTGGAATTGGATGCCCTTGTGTGACCTTTTTGAGTACATAGTTGGAGCTGTAGTTTGTTGGAGGTGTAGGACCAGATTTGTGACCAACTGTACAGGTAAACTTGATCACCATTCTTTACTCTCTCTCTCTCTCTCTCTCTCTCTCTCTCTCTCTCTCTCTCTCTCTTGTCTCAACTCACCACCTCACCAAGTTAAACGAGTTAACCACCTCATCTGTCCTCAACTGCCTTAATAAAACAGTTAATCCTCATTATGTCTCACTTTTCCTCACCACCAGGATAACTAGACCCTTTCCTCACGCTCTGCCTTACGTTCCTCACATCACTACACTAACGACCTGCCTTCTTCACGCCCTGTCTTACGTTCCTCACATCACCACACTAACGACCTGCCTTCTTCACACCCTGCCTTACGTTCCTCACATCACCACACGAACGACCTGCCTTCTTCACACCCTGCCTTACGTTCCCCCCGCAGGAGAATGAGCGGCGGGACGACTACATGGAGCTGAGGGAGGGTTTGGACCTGACGAACGTGAACTTCAAGGAGTTTGTCATCGCGCGGAGAGACACCAAACGGCCTCCTTGGTACAGTAGACACGCCGTGTTCTGGGCCGCCTCCTTGCTCCTGCTGTCGTGGCCTCTACGTCTCGTGATAGAGTACAACACTTCTTATGTCCACTACCAGGTGTGTGTGTGTGTGTGTGTGTGTGTGTGTGTGTGTGTGTGTGTGTGTGTGTGGTCAGCCACTAATCCCTCCTGTACACTTGCAGGTAACCAAGCTGTTTGGTGTGAACTACACGACGCCGGTGAGCGGTGGTCGGGCGTCACGAGGGTCAGCCACCACCGATAGTCATGACCTGGAGCTGACCATCGCCAACAACTGCACCCTCATCCCCTCCTACAGCGAGGCGCTGCTAATGGAGGCGGGAGCCACGCCTACCTCTATCCTTACGCCCTCTGTCGACGCCAACGGCAACATTCAGAACGGCGGAGGAAGTCTGCCAGCGGCGGCGTCGTCTGCTAGCGTCGGCTCAGAACTGTTGCCGGGGTCGTCGACTGGCCCGGCAGCCTCCAGAACCTCCCTACACAATGGTTATATTCTGTATCATCCATCACCCCTCATGCCCTGCTTCCCCACCGATCCTTTCCAGGGACGACGCCGCACCACACCTACAGAGAACCCCCCGACGTACGACGACGCCCTCAGAGTCTCCGCACCGCTTTTAGGAACGATGTCACCGTCGCCAATGCGGAGGTCACACACAGAGAGGGACATCCCCTCCACGCCGCGTCTGGCACTTCCCCGACATTCTTGTCACTACGATCTTGAGACACAACTATGACCGCCGCTTGTCACTGGCGCCGCCGGACCCCTGTGTTGTCCAGCGTGGTCGTGTAGGGTCAAGCCTGATGCCCATACACACCCTTACACCCATTCACACTCTCATGTACACCTACACACCAACAGTAATTATGCGAGCTCACAAGTTTAATACACTCCGAGACACACACACCACCATTACTCCACACTACAGCATACACAATACGCACACACACACACACACACACACGTACGTGAATAACGCCTAATTTAATCCACACAGAGACACTGCTGACAACACACTCACGCACAAACGTTTTTATTCAAGTTAATAAATAAGTAAATTTTTACGCAGAATATACGCTTATTAAAAGACCTCAGTCCTGATGATATACAAACTGTTGAATGTTGCACATGCCCAGTTGTACACACACACACACACACACACACACACACACACACACACACACACACACACACACACACACACACACACGGTAGAGACTGTTACTATAGTTGTCAATGTACCACACGTACACAGTTTTCGCTTCCCATAATTTAAGAATCACCGTAGCGATAGAAATTCAATTTCAAGGAAATGACTTTCTAGAATTTCAAAGGCGACACACAAAAGACCTGTGATGACGTTACATTGGAAAGAACACTGTCTCCCTTGAGTTACGACAACCATTTTATAAACTGTACGGAGCTGAACACACACACACACACACACACACACACACACACACACACACACACACACACACACACACACACACACACACACACACACACACACACACACACACACGAGGCTACCATTATCCATGAACAACTACGTTGCACTGGCCATGATACCCTCATGGACGACAGTAGACTGCCAAAGCAGCCACTTTACAGTCACCTAACGAATAGTAAACGTAACGCCGGCAGGCAACTGAAAAGGTATAAGGACAGTCTTAAGACAAACAGTACCTGAAAAAGTGCCAAATCGACCCCCTCACCTGGGAGACGATCACTCCACACCATAACGCTTGGCGAAGCACCACACAAGAAGGTGTCAATACTTTCGAGTTAGCCCAACTACATAACGAGGCAGACAAGCGCCAACCCCAGAAAGACGCTGCAGCCGCCCCTCCCTCACTAGATGTAGCCCCCCACATGTGCAACATCTGTGGACGACCTTGCCGGTCCCGTATCGGCCTCTCTAGGCACCTCAGAGCTCACCAACGAAGGTGACATCCCTAATAACTCATATCATTGTATCATAGCTGGATGATCGTCATACTCGATTACGAGTGACAGTAAAGTAGTATTAGTAATATGTGTGTGTGTGTGTGTGTGTGTGTGTGTTTAGATCTCCCAGGAGTGGCGTCGTCTCCCCTCCTGCCCTTGGGTGTGTAAATATTCAAATGGTATACATAAAAGGGCTGGTGCAGGAAGGACGAGGCGGAGGAGGAGAGGATACGAGGTGGGAATGAAAGAGGAGCTGGGGAGAAGGAGAGAAGGAGGAGGAACAACGGAAGGAAGAAGGAGAAAGAATATGTAGAGGAGAAACAGAAAAAGGGAAAGACGAAGAGAGGCTAAATGAAAGAGAAGGTATAGGATGAATGGAGTAGTCAGGAAGGCAGATATATAATGAGTAACGAAGAGTTCAGATCCTAGGAGACACCACAACCTCCACCCACACCCCATACCACCCCACCCCACCCCACCCTTCTTCCCCCAACCCCACTGCCCACCTCTCCACCCCACCCCACCCACCCCACCCCCCCACCCCCACCCCCTTCCCCCACCCCCACACTACCTCCACCCCCACCCGTCACACAACCTTTGATGAATGTTCAACAAGTGTGTACAAGAAAACATGGAATAAATCACGTTAGTCATCACCGAGAGAGAGATGCCAAATAAAACCGTCGTCATTACAAGATTTTCAAACGTTCGCGGCGAAATATATTCTTTAATATAATTCGCCTAATACGGTTGGTTGCCTTGGGCTGTAATACCGAAGAGGTGTCCATAATTAGTATCAAAATAACACTGAAATTCGACCTTAATTACTGTACATATGTTCCTTTAGCATCAATTGAAATTTAAAGTACAGATTTTCTACCAAGATTCTGTATTATAGTTTCCTCGGTCTCTAGCATGTACAAGAGGCTGCAACAAGAGAAGGCAGCGCCAGACTGTAGAGTGCTCAGGTTTATTCCCCCATGTGACGAGATGCTTTTACACTGTCAGTTAGTCTATAATTGGATTAAAAGATCAATTAACACCCATACAGAGCTATAATGACTCCCATTTTATACTGCCCTAATTATGGATAGGAAAGGATATTGTTGGATTAATCTTTTCTTTTTATGGTTGTGATAATCATGGTTTGTAAATGTTTCTAATAGCGTAAATTTTGGGTGCCGTGACGTCTACCCTTACTGAAAAACATAGTCGGAAGAGGTTTTTATAGAGAGGAATCCAGTATATATTAGTCGGTGAGCTGCATACACAAACACACACGCCTGTTTACTCTTGGTATAGATGCTAAATAAACACTATATCAGATTATCAGTATGTGCGGCATGAGGCCATAGAACAGTGACTTGTGTACAGATAAACCAAAACACAAGAGCTCAGTATGACTTTTACACCCCCCCCCCCCATCTGCACACGATAACAACAACAACTGGGCATTTATGACTTATAATACCACATTATTAACTTTGTACAGTGTAAACTATCAAACGAGGAATAAGAACTCTCGCAGCAAGAACATTAACTCATTCTCCCACCAAACAGTCCTGAGAACGTAAGGAAACACACACTAGGCTTACGCTACACCACACCTGAACACTAACTCTAGCGTCTGCCTCCCTTACTGCCAAGTGGTGCAGTATTTCTCTGTTATTGACAGTCTAGTTCTTTATTTGCTTGTCAGCGCATAATTTCCCCGTTACGAGTCTTATAGAGCGCTTCCTCAGTGATATGCCTTTATGGTGTGAAATTTAGTTTGATATAGAGCGCCTTTGCTGCCGCCGCCGCTGCCGCTGATCTGCATAATGGCGCGAGACGGTGTTTAATAGAAGCACCATCATTCTTCACTGTTTATGGTGCTGTGTGTGGAGCTTCATGTATGGTGCTGTTGTACACACGTGACGCTTCTCGCCTCTATAGTGTTGCCCGGGGTGACCAGGCTACCTTCCAACGGTTCATTGGTACCAAGGTTAATTGCTTATCTAACCTGAACTAACTTAAACTAACCTAACTCATTCCAACCTAACCCAATCCATCCAAACTAATCTGATCAAACCCGAACTAACCTAATCCAAGCTAACTTAACTCAACCAAACCAAACCCAATCCAATCCATCCTAACCAAATTTAACCTACTTTAACCTTAAATAACCTAACCTAACCCACGTTAACCCAGACTAACCTACCCTAACCCACGTTAACCCAGACTAACCTACCCTAACCCACGCTAACCCCTAACCCACGCTAACCCAGACTAACCTACCCTAACCCACGTTAACCCAGCTAACCCAGACTAACCTACCCTAACCCCCACGTTAACCCAGACTAACCTACCCTAACCCACGCTAACCCAGACTAACCTACCCTAACCCACCTAACCCAGACTAACCTACCCTAACCCACGCTAACCCAGACTAACCTACCCTAACCCACGTTAACCCAGACTAACCTACCCTAACCCACGTTAACCCAGACTAACCTACCCTAACCCACGCTAACCCAGACTAACCTACCCTAACCCACGCTAACCCAGATTAACCTACCCTAACCCACGTTAACCCAGATTAACCTACCCTAACCCACGTTAACCCAGACTAACCTACCCTAACCCACGTTAACCCAGACTAACCTACCCTAACCCACGCTAACCCAGACTAACCTACCCTAACCCACGCTAACCCAGACTAACCTACCCTAACCCACGCTAACCTATGGACCAATGCATCAGAGGAACACAGATCAGCTTCAGATTCAACATCCCAGGTGATGCATCGTACAGTGTTCCGTGTTGTTGACTTGTGGTGGTGTCTGTTGTTACCGAGTGAGCAGTGAGCGACACAGAGACGAATATCTGACAGATTTATGTAGACGGTGAATATTTATCGTCCTAACCTAACCTAACCAAATTTAAGAAACTAAACTTATTCTAAACAATTAATACAACCTAACCTAATTTGATTCAACTTAAGCTAATCTAGAAACTGGATATCCTAAACTAAATTAACCCAACTAAGCCTAACCTAACCTGATCTACCTCAAGCTAAGCTAAGCTAAACTAACCAAACCAAACAAAATCTAAACTAACTAATGCCTAATCTAACCTAAATAAACCAAATCAAAATTTAACTTAAACCTTAACCTAACATAAAACATTGACCAGCAAATGAAACCAAACTTAACCTAAACATTCCTAAGCTTATGTTATTAAACTAAGCCTAAACTAGCATGTATAACAGCCCATTCTAAATTGCTACACTAACCTAACTTAATCTTCAAGCTGACCTAACCTAACGCTACGTAATTTAGGTGAAGTTACGTTAGATTAGGGTAAAATGGTAAATATTTATTGTAAACCTAAGTATGGTATTTATAATCCTCACCGAGTCGCCGATTATGTAACCATTAACTTTCTTTTGATAAGGGGAAGTTAAAGGGGAATAGTTTATTGAGATAATACTTCGCAATAAGGCAAATTTATGTTGGTGTGCGAAGTCAGCAAACAGTTTCAGACAGGTATAAAAAGTGTTCCCTATTGGCGAGACACTGAGTCGGTCAGGACGGCAATGAGGGAAAACGTGTCGTACATCTCAGAGGACACGAAAGGTGTTTCCTAGAGGTGTATTAGTGACTTGTGAACTAGACGGAAATTAGATTTATTCATTAAGGATAATTTACGTTACCTCTGGTCAAATATGGACTTTGGAGCATTTTTGCAGATATAATGAAGTGATCCCTGATATAAAAAGCAACTATAGTGTTGTTTAAGAGGTATGAACGTGACCTCTAGCCGAAGAAGGACTTTAGAACATTATTAAAGAAACAGTTAAGTGATTTCTGGTCTAAAACGGAACTTAAAACATTGTTTGTAAAACCTAAAAGCCTTAGAGCTGAGAGTTCCATTGCCTGGGTCTCTATTAGCAAAGAGAAAGAGTACACCGATCTGGATAAAGTACTGTAACAATTTTTGAACCTCGAGGTGATGGTGATTATGTGACAGTAATCCGGAAAGTGTTTTATCCTGATAGAGCAAGAAACGTCTCCTATGATATAGTCCGTATAACTTTATAATGTTTTTAGGATTACTCTTGTGAATAGTGAATCCGAGGAAGTGTGGTGATGATAATTGTCCCAAGAGAGAGGGTGACTGGTGAACACTTTAAATCATAATGAACGACGAAGAACGGTGTTTTGTTGTTGTTATGATTTGTGAGTAAAGCTCAGGAAAGATATACAATACTCGTGTATAAAGTAGTTCAAAATATATTTGTTGGTTTGACAGCAAAAACAAATGACTCGGAATGTTGGTGAGTGACAGAATGTTGGTGAGTGACGGTAGCTGAACTTTGTATTTTTTACCAACGTACTGTACATCAGAACGAGTGATGTGTGAGTAATTGAACTTGTGAACTTCCTGTGCATTTGTGATTAAAGGACTTCATTCCTGAAATATTATAATTTATGGATCGACTTGTGGAGAGATTTTTGTGAGTCAAGAGGACCATATTAT